GTGAAGAAGAAAGGAATGAATTAGCCTTTCTATTCTATTCATAAACTTAATGAAAAAGATTTTTTTATTTTTTGCAAAATTATCAATATATATGATTTTATAGATAATTTTTAATAATTTAGATTAACATATTTTAAATGTAATTACTCTTCAGAATAATACTGTACCTTTTTTTTTTTTTTCCTGAAAAAGGCACTGAGAGTGTGCATTTCCTCAAAGACGTAGAAAGCATTTCAGGCATTATGAAAATAAATAGCCTGAAGCCTGAGAAGAGAATTAAACCCTCACCTTTGTGAACTTTAGCTTTGCCATCTATTATTACCATGACGCCTGCATTCAGGCTGAGTGGCAGCAACAGCTGCTCTTGTTGAGTGTTCCCCTGGTGAATAGCCTTGTTTTCCAGCACTCACAGAACAGAAAACAGAGAATGTTTCTTGCTAGTTCTCTGAGGCACTCCAAAAAGTTAGAAAAACCCGGTTGAGCAAGAAGGGTCTCTCTGAGCCTTGGTTTTCTCTTCATTAAAATAAATGGGTTGGGAAAGCTTGCCTACCTTTACTTAAGAGATTATTTAACCTGCATGTTCATCTCACATATGCAGACAAAACTACCATCAGCTTGGAGGGGTGCGAGGAGAATGAAGCACTATGAGATAATGGAGAGAGAGAAGAGAAGGAAGCGAACAGCCTTCAAATTCTGCTCCGTACGAATTCAAATCTATTTCCATCATGGTTGTAAAGCTGGTTCTCTTTTCTGCGACTAATAACTAACTTGGAGCTGGAATACACTTGGAGCTGGTCTGCACTTCTCTGTGTCTAATGTGTGTATCTACAGCTGTGTCTGCCTAGCTAGCTAGCTATTTATGTTAAAATTCAACAACAAGTTCATTGTTAATAGAGCAACTCAGGTGGAGCCCTAGGCTACCAGCACCCTCCAGTCCTGATGTTGCATGGTGTAACGTGAGGAGGTTCACTCATATTTTAATGTGTCAGTGGTTCTCAGACTTGGATGCATATCAGAACCACTTAGAGGGATCGTTCAAAAAGATTCCTGGGCCTGACCTTAAGATTTTCAGCTCTAGTCAGTTTTAGATGGGCCCAAGAATTTGGCTTTCTCACAAATTCCGACGGGAGATCGACGCAGATAGTCCCTTTGCGAGAGAAGAGTGGGGCCAAGTGAGATGAGAAATGCCTGTTCTCTGTCCCAATCCCTCTTCCAACCCTGAAAAATGTACCACAGCAAGGACATGCCTTCATTTGATATTTTCATGCTATGTTTTACAAATACCATTTTCTCTTTTAAATTTCAGGCATTTAGAGGACACCTGTTCATTAGCCTCTGTCTATTGTTGGGTAAAGGAGGCAAATGCAAAGCAACAAAGAAATTGTAAAAACTCAGATATGCTCAGTATTACTGTATAAATGACCTTGCTGCCCATACAGTGTATAAACTCTGTGTATTTGCTCTGCCTGAGCACCCTTTAGGTCCTAAGATTTTTCCTGGTATTTTGGCTATTTATCTCTGTATTTCAGCTCATGAACCACTTGGCAGGCTTTGCTTTTAAGAAGTGGAGAAATTCCTAAGAGTTTTACCGTAACATTTTACAACAATAATATAGAAAGCAGCAAATCTCGAGAAAATGTATTTCAAATGTGTCTCACTTGTATGCTTTTCTTTTGCACTTTTCCCTAACCATTACTGTCAAGCCATCCCCCTCAATGATTTATTTATTTCTTCCTTTTCAGAAAAACTATATTCACTCTTGGAAGCTCTTCTGAGCTCTTGAATTTTTTTCTTGGGCTAACTTTTCAATGCTATTTTTTAAATGACATGTTTTTCTTAGTAAAATAAGGTTGGTAATAGATTGTTTGATTCTTGCTCAATTATAATTAGGGGAATAGTTCAAAGATCAACATTCATCACCTCGTGCAAGGCTCATCATTGTGTCTGATAATTTGTGTGCCTAGCCCGTTTTACAGAGGAGGAAATTGGGGCATAGATAGGAGAAGTAACTTAACCAGTTATCTGGCCACAGACAATAGATAACTCAGGGATTTAACCTGAGTGTGTTGAGTTCCAGTGATTCCACTATGTGCTATTATGCATAGAGTTACATACACTATAAGAGAAATTGTATTCAAGATGCTTAGATAGTTTTTCTATTTTGATCCAAAAGAATTACTACTGCTGCCCACAAATATGCTTTGTAATTTCTTCTGTTTGCATTTGAAGATACCTCTATCAGTAAAGCAAAAAGAAGAATGACAAAGAGCCATCTACATCATATAACTATTACTCAGGGGTTCTGGATAAATATCATGACTCCTGGCCCAGGGTTCTTCTCAGCACTGAAAACCACAATTGACCCCTTGTTCCCTTGTCTTAGTCATGTCATGTTTCCTGGAGTCTCGAGGCCACCTATCCTGCCTTGTCCTGTACACACTGGAAGGTTTAGATCAGATGGAATATTTTCTCATTCTTTTATTGGCATTTACAAAGAAACTTCATGACATACAGTTCACAGTTAGGCGCTATGACAATGCAAACATGAATAGGAGAAGATTTCTGATCTTCAGCGGCCACCAGCTCATTGGAAGCTATAAAGGGGACACCTGTGATTACCAAGTGTTACATATTAGCTGTTATTTCCTGAAATTAAAATGGATGTCCCAAACCAGAGCCAGTAAAAGACCAGGAGGCACTGGTAGACGTCAGATTTCAGGATGGCAGGATTGGGAATGTCTTAATGGAAGAAAGCGGCATTTGGCTGCACTTTAATGTTCTGATTTTAAACATATGTGCACATGCTTCTGAGATGTGCAAGGTGACCAACCGTGTGGTAAGAAGAAAACATTAAATTCGGAATTATAAGAATATTTATCTCAATAATTTTTTAAAACTATGTTAATACTTGCTTTACTACCAAGACTGGTACTTTTATCCATAACCAAGTGTCGTGTCTGACACCTGAGTTGTGCCTGCGGAAGGGCGAAGCTCCATGATGGATCTAGGAGCCAATACTTTACCTCCACCGACTTCTTTAACCTGCTAATATTCATCCCTGGGCGCTTGGTTAATAGGATTTACAGATTATATTATTTGGCTTTAATTAATTAACACAACAAAATGTACAAGTGCTTTGAAAATGCAGGCCTAGAAGACATGGATTAAAGACGGTATTACAAAGTCACCAATAAGAACATGACAGAACTTTCTCTCACATATCTTGTACAAGTTTGCTTTCAATCACATTGTAGACACTTAGAACCCCAAAACCAAAATAATCAATAAGAGGATTTTAATTATGGATGTACAGCCACAATTATTCATTATATAACTCACCCAACATGTATATTTTACCCTTATATATTTAATTTATTAAGAAATGTGAGAGTGGTATATTGGTGGATAGAGGAGTGAATAGCTAAAATCTAGAAATTAATGCTTTTCTTTAGAATGCAAGTAAAACAAAGACTAAGCATTAAGTGATTCAGATCCATAGATGAAAATATGTTAGCGATGAAGACATGGCTCTTAAAGTGTTTCTATGCATTTGTCAAAATGCAAATTTGGGATTGTCAAAGCCCTAGTCTCACACAAAAATTAACTTTAAAATTTCAGCTTATAGTAATAAAACACGTATTTATTATAGGAATACATGTAATGCATTATAGAGTATGTATCAATGATTTTTTCGTACCAGATACAGTCATATGATCTAAAGTTTGCACATTATTGACCACTAGATGGGCAAGATTCTATACTCTAGTGATCTGAGTAATATTCTGAAAAATTCACAAGTTCTGTAGATCTCCCCAAGCCCTGGTCAACTTGGCATCCTCAGCACTTGGCATCACACTTGGTAATAACAGTCATTTAAATATTCACTGGTGAATAAATGGTAAAATAAAATAAGGTTAAATGATAGATGGATTGAAATAATTTATATTTTCTTTTTAAAATAGGCTAGAGAGGAACAAGAATTATATTTCTAGATTGTCAGTGAAATGAAAACTGATGATTCATCTAAAAGGAAATAGGTATTAAAGCCTTCCAAAGCATATGTCTATATTTACATAAACAACATGAAATATTTTCATTTGGTCCAACAGTTGAAATTCTATCAAGCATATTTTTATATCTTCTCCTTCCCTTTTCTCTCATAGTAATTATTTAACATCAGAATTCTAATGCTTAAATAACTACTTATTCTGATTACTTTAGACAATGAAAGATATTTATACCTTTTTAGCAGTAAATGTTTAATTAGCATATTAATCAAAAAATGAATAATTTACAAGTTTATTAACAGATGTAAATCATTCTAAAAGAAGCCTTGCCCATGAGGAGCTGAGAAAGTTTATCAAGTTTCTGAGATGTTCCCAGGCGTCTAAGCAAAAGGGTTACTACCTACTTAATCAACTATTCAGAAAAATAAGATTAAGAATCTCAAGGAATTAATGACATTTAAATTATCTCCCAGGTTCATTCTCTTTCTTGAAGTCCTGATCTCTCATTTGGTCCTGTCTGAAACAGAAAGCAAAAATGAGAAGCAATTAACTCCATATTGTCCTGGAAGCCATAATCTCAACTGCACCCAGACACGGGGTGAGATAGGCAGGCTTCTTGCTCAACCTGTTGGAAACTGGCTTTGAGTCCTGAGTTGTGCTCAAACTAAAGTTAGTTTGCTTAGTGCCTATGAAAACACACTCACACTCACAGGGTCTTGAGGATAGACGTAACTGAGCATTCAAATAGAATGCTTTCCTTTTGGATCAATGCCAGGAAGGACAGGGTCTTTTAAGATCAACAGGACTGCTTTCATCCCAACACCTGTTTTTCTATCCTTAACACAATAAGTTATATCAAACAATTTACAAATAGATAACCAAAGTGAACAGGCCACGGTCTTGGGGGTACGGAAGACTCTATCTCCTCTGTTCTCTAATTTATTTAAATAACTCATTTGTCCCTTCAACTCTGTCTTTGATGCCAATACTTTTTTTTTTTAACGAACGTTTTTTTTTTAATTCTGATTCCTTTTATCGTGTGCATTTTTATACAAATCACTTTCAAATAAATCATCTTAAATTTATAAGAGTTTCTTTCTGATTCAGTTTAAAAATGACAAAAAGCATTTGTTGTGCCCAAGTTAGAGTTATACCAAAATTACCATATGATGGCACATACAGTCATCCTACTGGTGGCTGAAAAACTGGCTTGCAGGAGTATCTGTCACTCAGATGGGCCACCACACCAGTGGGCAGATGGTGGAGATGAGGAAAGGCTGGACTAGAAGCAAGCTGGGTCTTCTGGGTCGTCTCTACTCCTTTTTCACTTCATCACCATTTTCCCCACTGAGGTTGAACACGGGAATCTGCTGACCATCCTTGAGCTCTAAGACCTCGTCAAGGTGCCACCTCTGACAGGGGCCACTCCTGGTTGAGTGGACGTGGAGATGACCCTCTGACTTGGATCCAGAGACAGGAATCTTCAACTTGGCATCAGCAATGTCCACAAAGTTGTCCTTGCCCGTGAGCTTGAGATAGTGGATGTTGACAGGAGGGCCCAGAGCTTCCTGTGCCTCGGGATTGTTCTGCAGCTGCTCCGATACCAACTTGTAATATAAACTCCTGGAATAAGTCTTTCGTATGATGAAATACACAAGGGAAAACCCCCGGTACACAGCACACTGTCGTAAATGGCCATTTTTGCCAGAGACATTGACATCCTGCTTCGTGGATGAGCTCCAGGCAACTGGGAAAGCTTCACAATCATGGCGTAAGGCAAGGAAGAGCAAGTCAAGTCTTATATGGAAGCCTGTCTCTGCTTTAAAAAGTGCTGGGATTAAGGTATCGATGCCAATACTTTATAATAGTTACTGTAACTGCAGCTACATCACACCAAGGCACAGGTTATAAAGTGAAACTCAAACAAGTGGTCATTTTGGGATTTGCAGTGCGTTATCACTAATATTATGAAATGACTTCACATCAGGTAACTTTGGGAGAGTATTCTGCTCTAGTTATTCTAGAGTTAGAATTGCTCTAACTCTAGAATAACTCCCAAGCCCTCCCTGTATATGCTGACAGTCATGGCGAGGCCACTGGGTGTGGTCTCAGGAGGATGGTGGAGCGATGCCTGGTAATGGACTTTCCGCCAGTGTTGGAACAGGCTACAGAGCTATGAGCGGAACCACCAGGGAATCCAGGCAGGACGACCGGAGAAAGAAGAGATAAGCAATGTAACACCAGGTGGATGCGAATACTCTTTCACCAGACATTCCCTTACTTTGTCATACGTTTTGATCTCCTAATTTAAATAGAACCATGAATGAATGAATTTCCAGTAGAACTTTCCCCTTTTTTATCCAATGAGAGTTTTTAACCTGTATTTTTATTTCCAACTAAAGTGTTTTCGAGTATGAAAATTGGCAATGAATATCCCCGTGTGGTTTCCACGGAACATCTCACCAGCATTTCTTCCTAATAAGATACCACGGCCACCGAGTGGCTCTAACAAGTCTGGGTGGATGCGTGGTCAGGGTCTTCCCGTCCTCTTCTGCACCTGTGGACATCAACTACACCTTCTGATCATGCTGACTAAGGCCACCAGTTTTTGAACATGAGTCTCCTGAGGAGTTATGAAGTTGAAAGGGGCAGACACCAACAGACATCTAAATTTTTTTTGTCTGTATTTAATACAAGTACAGTATGTCTATAGGACTTTGAACTAATTGATAATTTGTATTAGTCAGTGGATTCTTATCCATGTGTTAAAAAGAGCTTGAATATCTATGAGATGGTTTACTGTGATGCCTATTAATCAGTGTATCAATAGATATGCAGTAGAAGATGTTTAATAACAGTATACCTATGAGGTAAATGATTAAATACTCAACAAAATCACAGTCTTAAATTGCAAATAAATGAATGACTATAAATGTTGGAGAGAGGATATTTGTGAATCTTATTTTTGTTAGGTTCCCTTATCTTTGTGGGTACTGGGAAGTTGAAATGCCTTATCTCAGGGGTAGGCCTCTGGGTAACACTTCTTGTAGGCTTGTATCTGCTGTGATCAAAACAGAATTACTAAGGAGCTGAAAACAAGGCTTTCAAAGCTTAGAAGGGAAACGAAGTGTGTTCATGTCTTCATGCTTTCATTCTACGAATCTTTGAGAATGTAAATAGGATAAAATGTTGAGGGCCACCACAAATGGGGTGGCAGAATGACTGTAGGAGTGTGAGAAGGTCAGGGGACCTGTGCTGGGTGCAGTGGGTGCACCTGGGAGAGATGGCAGCAAGGGAGCGGGGAAGACCAACCCCGGGTATTTGTTAGGTGGTTCAACCTGTCAGTCTTGTCTTTAACCTTCAAACCTCAAGATACCTTGAGAATTAGCTCTAAATTATAACATGGGGTTAATCAAGTAGACTGTGTGGGAATTCATTTTAAAGATGTGAAAACATGAGTGTGTGGATGTGCTCCCCAGGAGCAACTTTCGGCAATAAATTATAATTCTATTTAGAAATGTTTAACAAAACTTTCTCAAGGCATGCAGGTAATTAGCATAGGCTAATTTTGAACTAAAGTAAGGGTCTACACTTATTTTCACCTAGGGTGCCCAAGAGTTGATGTTAATACAGAGGCTCCATGTAAGCTGAGACAAATCGTGCCTTCACCTCACACAAGTGCATGGCGGCACCTGCTGCCCACCTTCCTCCTGGCTCTGTCCCAGCTCAGGTACTCAGAATGGACATCCAGCTGACCACAGCTGTCCGGTCCTTTAACCAATGCCATTGAGAACTGTTAGCTAAAAATAAAACCCTAAAATCCAACTGACTGAATGGACCCCCTCTTGGCCAAGGGTCCCAAGAGTAAACCTGGAGACTGAATTTCTGGCCATGATGGGATGAGAGGTCAGCCATGCATGGCTCTACCCTCTCCCTTGCTAACCATGATTTGGCTTTCTCCCTAACACTAAATAGAAACCAGCCCTTTCAAATGACTCCACCCACTGCTGACATCAACCAACCACTGACGCTGACCATCCCTTTTGGGGTTTCTGCAGAACAACTGACCAGCATTTCTTCCTGATAAGAGACCCCTGGTCACTGAGGGGCTCTGATACGTCCAGGTGGATGCACAGTAAGGGTCCTCGTGTTCTCCACTGCAGCTTTTGACATCAGAGAACCAAGAACTATACTCTCTGATCATGCTATGTAAGGCCACCATTTGCTGAACATGGGTCCCCTGAAGAGTCAAGAAGCTCACCTGCACAAACCTGTGGGTTTTCTCATAAATATTCATGACTATCTATGGCTTATTGAATATGTATGTTGGACCTCCTGGTTCAGCATAAATTCCTGCGCCCTTTGCTCCTCCCTGCAACTGCCTGTTTCTGGCCTCTGACTGGAGGCTACACTTGCAGGCAGTCAGAGTAGCCAGCCCAGAGCCTGTAGCCCTTTATGAGAATAAGGCTCCCCTTTCCAAATTTAGGAACCTCATCACACTTCAGTTGACAGAATCAACAAAGTCACACTGAACAGGAAGCTTTGTGCTGAAATGGCAAGAACTCCTAAGAGTCATGTCTGTGCTTAGGACAGTTGTACTGCTATGGACTGAATGTGTGTGTCCTTGAAAATAAATCCTCACTTTTGAGGTGAGGTTATGGAGTTAGGAGGTGATGAAGTCAGAGGGTGGAGCCCTGGTCAATGAGATTAGTGCCCTTGTAAAAAGCACCCAGAGAGCTACCTCGCCTCCTCCCCCGTGTGAAGACACAGACAGAAGGGGCTGTCCCTCAACTAGGAAACAATCCTCTCCAGACACCAACTTTCTGGTTCTGTGCTGTGATCTTTCATTCTCCAGCCTCCAGGACTGTGAAAAATAAGACAGGTTTGTTTGTGAGCTTCCTTGTCCATGATGCTTTGTTAAGGCAGCCTGCACTGAGACTGCGCTCATGAGGTGCTAGGGCGAATCCTCCAGCCATCACCTGCTCCATCCGCCACAGACACTCCATCCTTCGCATGCGGACGCGATCCTGCCAGGCTCACTGTGTCCAGCCTGTCCCAGTTTCCACAGAGCCCAGGTCCCAATACTGTGAGGTCCGGCACGTCCTCTGCGGGACAGCTGAGGCTGGCGGCCAGCCTTGACATTGCTTAGCTCAAAGGCCCATGTTTGCTTAGTCCTGGCCTGGACTTGCTTCTCTCTCTTTACCATGTGACTTAACTTTGCTGAGTTCTTTTCCAGTGGACTCTGGAAGGACAGGCTTCCTCCTATTGAGCCTTAAACGCTGCGGTCAATGGTGGCCGCCCCTCGGTGTTCCTGGGCCTGAAGGTGCAAATCCGTGCTTGCTCCCAAGCTGCTTTCCTGAGAACAGGGAGCAGGTCCCCTTGAGTGCCCTGTGCTCCATGATGGGAGGGACCTGGAGTCGAGAAGGGAGGCATCACAGTCCTGCCAAGAGTGGAGCCTTGGGGTAAAATAATGTGATGCTTATACACATACACAAGACACACAGACACACACCACACACACACTACCATACCACACACATACCACACACAC